CCTAAATTCCTCAATATTCATCGCCTAAGAAAAGTGACATTCTCTTTCATGTCATAATACCATTAACACATCTAAGAAAATTAACAAAACTATAGTATCTCATGTTCAATTTATATTCAAATTAACTCACTTCTCCCCCAAACTATCTGTTATAGCCATTTTCCCCCAAATCAGGATACATAGTTTTATGCCTCTAGATTTTTTAAAATATTTTTATTGATTTCAGAGAGGAAGGGAAAGGGAGAGAAACATCACTGATGAGAATCACTGATCAGCTGCCTCATGCATGCCCCCTACAGGGGATCAAGACCACAACCTGGGCATGTGCCCTTGACCGGAATCAAACCTGGGACCCTTCAGTCTGCAGGTTGACACTCTATCCACTGATAATCTAGGACTCTAGATTATCTTTTAATGAGAATGGTTTCCCTCTCACTGCCTTGTCTTATGTATAATAGTTATATGAAGTGTCCAGACCAGGTGTCTTGTAGAAGGTCTCACCCTCTGAGTTTGTCAGATTATTTTCTCCTGGGTTGGCCTAGCGTAGTGTTCAGCAAACTCAGTCAGCAGAGCCAAATATCAACAGTACAACGATTGAAATTTCTTTTGAGAGCCAAATTTTTTAAACTTGAAATATATAGGTAGGCACATTGTTACTGACTTAATTAGGGTACTCCTAAGGCTTAGGAAGAGTCACACTCAAGGGGCCAAAGAGCCGCATGTGGCTCGAGAGCTGCAGTTTGCCGACCACGGGCCTAGCATGTCCTTAATTACCACAGAAACAATGGAGCAGCCCCAGTTGTAGGTGAAGAAAGGTACCTACCTCCCATCCCAGTCCTTGACTTCTACATGTTCTTGGGTAGTTTACCACCCCAGGCCATGGCCATGGCAGCATGGCCCAGATGTGGCCAGTACAGGATGTAGACCAGTGGTTCCCAACCTTTTTTTTGGCCCTGCCCCACCTAAGCATCTCTAAAATCCTGATGCCCCCCCAATCCTGTGACATATAATTTTTACTATTCAAAAAGTGAGCTCCTATTCACGTGGAGAAAGCCTAAAAGGCCATTAACTTTGTCTACACAGGCTTCCAAAGAACATGGCATTCATGGAAGAGAAAAATAAAAGAAAGAAAGGACAGTTGAAGTACTGAGAAAGAAATCACTAAGAAATTGTTAAAATATAATAATATGAAGTGGTATGAAAAAATAGCGAAGTTTCAAAACATACAATAGAGAACTAAAATGCATAAATATGCCACCATATATGTTTATATATGTATATATATGTATATGAGGCCCCTAGAACCATAAGAAATGCAAAAGATTCAGATAGTAACTCATTCTTTTTTTTTTTTTAAATATATTTTATTGATTTTTTACAGAGAGGAAGGGAGAGAGACAGAGAGTTAGAAACATCGATGAGAGAGAAACATCGATCAGCCGCCTCCCGCACATCTCCCACTGGGGATGTGCCCGCAACCCAGGCACATGCCCCTGACTGGAATCGAACCTGGGACCCCTCAGTCCGCAGGCCGACGCTCTATCCACTGAGCCAAACCGGTTCCGGCAGATAGTAACTCATTCTTGAATTGCCCCCCTATGGGGCGTGTGCCCTACTTTGGGAACCACTGATGTAGATCTTAGATTTGTGACATTGGGCAAGTGACTTAGCCTTTCCAGTCTCATTTTCTCATCTCCAACAAGGGGATAATAGTATGTGCTTCATGGGGAAGAGATTCTTTGGGCGTAAGCATGATCAGTTGAGGCTCAGCCCAGAGGATATGTCTGGAAATGGCAACTGAGGTCAGCCTTGGAGAAGGATCAGGCAATGTGTTCAGGTTTCAGGGTCTCTATGGGAATTAAGAGTGGGCTTTGCAGAGAAAGCAGAGCTGAGGAAAGATGAAGTCTGTGGTACTAGGGGGCCATTATGGGAACCAGCAGTGTCAGGGACCCAGGGAATGTCCATGGGGAGGTATCCAGGAGACCAAGGGCTCAGAGAAGAAGCCAGGGCTGGGACAGAGTTAGGGGCTTCATCGTGGGAATGGGTAAGATGTCCCTAGGGTGGGGAAGGATAGTACAATTAATTAAAAGAACTATGGAGCCAGATGCCTGAGTTCTTGTTCCAGTTCTACCATTTCCTGTTTGAGCCACTTGGCCTCTCTGTGTCTCAGTGTAAAAGGGTTGTTGGGAGTTCCGGATGTGTTAACCTCATGAGTGCTTAGCGGACAGCCTAGTAGGGGTCAATACCGTACAGGTGTTGGCTGTTATTACTAAGGGGGCCACTGCTGAGGGATACAAAGGGAGGATGGCTGGGGGGGGGCGAGGTGCCTCCAAAGAAGATGAAGTTCTTTAAATAAGGCAGACACTTGACCAGGCATCTACATCCTCTGACCTCTCTTCTCTCAACCCCAGATGATTTCCGGATCTTCTGTGGGGATCTGGGCAATGAGGTGAATGATGACATCTTGGCACGCGCCTTCAGCCGCTTCCCATCCTTCCTTAAGGCTAAAGTGATCCGTGACAAGCGCACAGGCAAGACCAAGGGCTATGGCTTCGTTAGCTTTAAGGACCCCAGCGACTATGTACGAGCCATGCGTGAGATGAATGGTGAGTGAGGCTTCCCCTAGGGACAGTGGGTGTGATGGCATCTGGCCTAAACCTGACCTTGAAATCTCCATTCTCACAGGGAAGTATGTGGGCTCTCGCCCCATCAAGCTGCGCAAGAGCATGTGGAAGGACCGGAACCTGGATGTGGTGCGCAAGAAGCAGAAAGAGAAGAAGAAGCTGGGCCTGAGATAGGGTCTGTGGCTGGGCACCCGCTCCCACTTGGCCGGGCGCTGGCTCCTCCCCATAGTTATCTTTGGAAAACCCCCAACTATTCACCCACCCATCCTCCCCAAAACGAGTGTCAATAAATTTTTGTTCATTTCCATCGCTGGCTTGGCTTGAAAGCACTCTTTGGGGTGCAAGGTTTAGCGCATCCTCCACCTGGGAATACTGGGGAGCATTGAGAATTAACCCAGACAGAAATGCAGATGGGCATTTTTCAGTCCCTCCTGAGTTCCCATAACATCTGGAGACCTCTTAAGTGCACGCTGAGTGCAACCCATTCTACAGAAGAGGAAGCTGGGGCTATGGCAGGGCTGAAGCCAAGCTGAGGCTCAGACCCATGCTCTTCTGACTCCAGCCTGTGTTCTCAGCACCAAGGTAGGGGTTCTGGGCCCTGCCCTTCTGGAGCTCATAGCCTTCTAGGTTTTCAGCCAACTTACCTAGGGCCGCACAGTGCGAGAGATACATTGGTGATAAGCAGTCCCAGGTCATTTCCTCAGAGCTCCTGGTCCAGTGTCAGATAGTGACGGCTCAAATGGGTCAGGGTTGGGATGGGGAAGCTCGGTGCAACCTGGGAATCCAGAAGGGCTTCCCCTTAGGAACTGGTCACTTCTGAGACTCTCATTCTCTTCTGTCATTCTCTCCCAGTCTGCACTTCTCACCTTCTGGATCTCCGAGACTGTTTCCCAATTTTTTCATTCTGTAAACCCTCTCTCTAGTCTCCTTGAGTGTTTCTCTATCTTTCTCTGTGAGTGCCCCTGTTTGTCCCTTGCTATGCCTCTGTATCTCTCTGAATCAGTTATCTCTGTATCTGTGGGTCTCCTCCCATTTCTTCTCAGCTCCAAGTTTGTCTCTGCCTGTTTGAAGAAGTGTCCATGCAGGACCTTGAATACCAACCAGACTAAAAGCTTAGACTTTACCACAAAGGCAGCAGTTGAGACAGTTCAAGCAGGGAACTGGCATCACAGATCTGCACTTTAGAAAGTCCTGAGACTACTGTGGGCTGGAAGCCTAGAAAGGGCTGGGGCAGGGATGAAGCAGAGGTGGGAGATTGCATGCTGGGAGGTTCCAGCATGAGGAAGGGATGAGGGTCTCCCAGGAGCATAGTGGTCAGAACCCTGGATTGGTAGCGGGTAAGAGGGGAAGTGGGAAACAATGCCAGTCTCAGAAGTTAGCCACCCAGGAGAGGTGTCAAATTCCCTCTGTTTGTCTTTCGCCTTTACTGCCCCCTCTCTGATGTCACATTTTCCAGTCTGGTCAGAGGGTGAGAGCCTCCTTCTCCAGCAGGAAGTGCCCTTCAGTCCCCTGCCACCTGGGCTGGACCACCCAGCCTGGGGACCCTCAAACCCCACCCACCCCCATATCATTAGCCCTCCCTACTCCTGCCCGGCCTCTGCTGACTAACCGCAGAGGCAAAGGAGGAGATAAGGAAGGAGAATAATGCCAGAAAATAGGATTTTAAAGTGTGCATTTAAATCTTCCTGAGAACAGAGAGAAAAATTGATTGTGAGTTGAGACACAGATGGACAGAAATGGAAGGGTGGGGAAGGAAGCAGAAAAATGAAGAAATATGAGTACTGTGAGGCAGTACAATGGGACTGGAGATGGGTAGAAGAGAGAGAGAGGCTCAAAAACTAAGACCTGGGGAAGGTTGCTGAGTCATTTGAAGCAAGTTATAGACATCATAATACTTCACCCCTTAATATCTCAGTGTTCATTTCATTATAGAGACATCATTCATATCATGATACCACTGTCACATCTAAGAAAATTAGTAATTCTATATGTCATATTCAGTTTATACTCAAATTTCCCATTTGTCCCAAACTATTACAGCATGGAAGGGCATGGACTCTGGAGATGAAGAAAGTCTCCCTCAATTTCCTCTTTTCATAAAATAGAGATCAGACTTGTACCTACCTCATAAGAAAATTAAATGAAGGCCCATGGCACTGTTGGTGGCATGCAATGAGCCCTCAATAAAATGTTAGCTATCAGTATTACTGTTATTTTTTGTTGTTGTTGTTAATCCTCCGCACGCAAGGATATTTTTTCGATTGAATTCTAATTTTTTTTTTTTTTTTTTTAGAGTGGAAGGGAGAGAGGCAGAGACATGTTGATTGGTTGCCTCGCGCAAGCGCGAGGGGGATGGAACCTGCAACCCAGGTATGTGCCCTTAATCGGGAATTAAACCTGCAGCCCAACTAGGGCGGGCTATTTCTGTTGTTATTGTTTATTTTTTTAATGCTATTGTTATGATGAATGCTGCTCCAGAGCAGCCCCGGAATGTCCCCAAAGCCCTGGAAGGGGAAAACTCAAAGCCTGGTCAGGCCTCCCCTCCATCCCATCCCCCTCAGTCCCCCTGTGGATTGTGACGTAGACAGACCAAGGGTCTGGCCGGAAATCCCCCTTCCTGTTGCAGATAAGCCTGGACCAGCCCAGCTGTACCCAAACCCTCCTCCCCACCTCCACCACCCATTTCGCAGAATCAAGTCCCCAAGATGGAGAACCTGTCCATCAAGCTCCCTGCCCCACTCCCATCACCCCCCTGTATCCCCCATTGCCCAGCCTGCTGTTCCCCAAGCTTCTGTCCAAGTCCTAGCCATCCCTGCAGCAGGACAGCCCCAGCTACAGGAGGCTGGCGGCCATCCCTGAGGGGGGGAGGCGAGAGGAGTGTAGCTCAGCCCCGCCCAGCCCCCTGCAACTCGACCTAGCTTCAACCCCCAGCTCTGACGTCTTGGAAAATTCCCCCCTGTCCAGGCCCCCAGGGGAGGGGATGCATGGTATGAAATGGGGCTGAGACCCCCAGGTGGGGACAGAGGAACCCACCAGAGGTGAGCCATCATGAACTGGGGACTGGGGGTCTGGACTACTGGGTCTGAGGAAAAAGGGCTGAGGTCCCTCCTGGTCTGAGCAAAAAGGACACTGGAGGCCAAGATTCCAGGGTCCTGGGAAAGAAGGGAGCAGAGGGCTGAACTACTGTGTCTGAGAGAAGCAAGGGCTGGGGCCCAGACTGCAGGGTCCCTACGTGTCCCCAGCTCACCCTGTGCCTTTCCGCCCCTGCCCAGAACATTCACAACAAGCATCCATGGACTTGTGGAAGTGGGATGAAGCATCACCACAGGAAGTGCCCCTGGGAAACACACTGTCAAGGCTGGGTAGGTTTGTGGGGCTGAACTGTGTGTGTGTGTGGGGGGGGGGGGGGGGGCCTCCGCTGACCCTGACCAGCCCGATCTGATTGCCCGCAGAAGGAGCTGAGCTCGGCTTCTGTTTCCCTGAAGTGGCGCTCCAAGGGGACACACTGACAGAGACATGCTGGAAAGGTGTTTGTGAGCTGGGCCCCCTGGGTGCTGGGGAAGGTTAGGTCTGAGGGAGGAAGGGGGCGTGCCTGGACTCCTGGGGTTTAGTGAGAGGGCTGCGGGCTTGAACTCCTGAGGTTGAAAGAGGAGGGGGCTGGGTCCTGAGTCCTAGGTCTGCATGAGTAGGGGCGGGGGGTAATACTGGGAGCGTGGTTGCGGGGGTGCTCTAGGCATTGCTCACACCCTTCCCTAAACTCAGCTACATCTTTACCCCTCGCAGGACTCCCACACTGGGACCAGAGCTCCGCGTCACCGCACCCAGAAACTCCATGGGGGGCGGGTGAGTGTGTGCGGAGAGGCGGGGAAGGAGTCCGGGGTCTTCCACCATGGCTGAAGTTTAGCTTCCCTGACTTTTTGAGGGAGAATGGAGATAGGACTGGGGACGCTTGTGTCCTCCACGTGGCCTGGCCCAGATCCGGGAGCCAGGGGACTCCTAAGGCGGCCAGGGGGCGGGACAGCTGGCCTCCCCTCACTGCGGTCCGTTCCTCCCCGCAGAGCACGCCTCTCAGGCTCCTTCGTGGTCAGGAGACTGGACCCAACGGGGATGCACCGGGTGGGACGCTTGGAGCCGAGTCCCGCCGGCGCTGGGCCCCGCCCCCTCCGCTGAGTCTCCGGGGGTCGCGGGCCACAACACTACCACCTCCGCGGGCGGGACCCACTCGTGGTCGCGCGCCCCCACCACAGCGAGCTCCCCCGGCCAGGACTGTCCCTTTGGCTCCCACGGCGCCGCATACTGGAGCCAGGGCCTCCGCGCGGAGGGGCGCACCGACTCCATTCCCTGGGGCGGGCATGGGGGGTCGGACTGTCCCACCTCCTGGGACTCGGGGCTGCATACGGCTTGCCCCACCTCTTCCAAGGAGCACCAGAGTTCCGATCTCACCGCTTCCTCCGAACCGAAGCAGCAGTTGGACCGCGCAAGTTTGGCTCGTTACCCCAAAACTAACCACCGAGGTGAGAGGTCCGGAGACGTGGTCTGCAGGGAGCGCAGCTGGGGTCTAGGGAGGCGGGCCTGGACGCCGAAGGGGGTGGGACCCGGGAAACTGGCGGAGAGGGCGGGACTTAGGTGCCTAAGCCCTCACTCCGGAGTCCAAGGTAGTCAGTCTTCTAGGGAGCAAGGGACGAAGACCTGAGCTCCTGATCAGGCGACAGGGAAGACAGGAGGGTCTGGATGCCGAGGTCTCAGAGCGGGCAGCCAAACTCCCAAATCTCCGAGATGGGGCCGGAGGCTGACTCTTGGGTCCCTTATATGGAGGGATTTGGACTCGCTGGTCCCCAAGGAGGAGGGGATCCGGACTCCTAGGTCCCGATTGGGGAAACCTGGACCCTTGGACCTTCGAGGTGAGGGACCCCAGACTCCTGGGTCATCGAAATGACCTGGACCAGGGCCAGAAAACCTGAGTATTCACCTGCCGCCCCCCGCAGGTCCCATTCAGCTCTGGCAGTTCCTCCTGGAGCTGCTCCAAGACGAGTCGCGTAGCAGCTGCATCCGCTGGACAGGCAACAGCCTCGAGTTCCAACTGTGCGACCCCAAAGAGGTGGGGCAGCCTCCCAGACCCGCCCAGTCCGGCCCTAGTCTCCTCTAGTTTAACTCAGCACCACCATTCATTTTGCCTCGCCCTTGGTCCGCCCAGCATGCCCTCACCTCAACCGCACTCTGCCCTACCTAACCTGTGTCCGGACTTTACGGAACCGGCCCATCTATCGCTAAGCCCTCCCGCTCCCACCTTCTCTGACTAAGCCTGGCCTTCGCCCTAGGTGGCGCGACTGTGGGGTGAGCGCAAGAGAAAACCCGGCATGAATTACGAGAAGCTGAGCCGAGGCCTGCGTTACTACTACCGCCGGGACATCGTGCGAAAGAGCGGTGGGCGCAAGTACACGTACCGCTTTGGGGGCCGCGTGCCCAGCCTAGCTTATCCAGACAACGCTGGGGTTAGGGTCCGACAGGGAGCAGCAACCCAATAAAAATATCCGGTCAAACTTCCTTCGTGTGCTGTCTGCATCCTTCTCAATGATACTGACTAGGCCCCTAGACCCGCTGGGGAGCCTGTGTGCACCGCACCCTCACCCACCAAACCCCTCCCACACATGACCAAAATAGACCCAGACCTAGAGGACTTACTGTGTGCTCAATGTGTGATGAGACATGCAAAGGATTCTAACTCAGTACCCCCACAGGCTCTATTGTGTGCCTGCCCTGTGCTGGAACTTGTAAAGAAATCAGACCCAATCACTAACTTGTGACTTTTCCTACTCTGTCCCCCTTGAAAAGAGGACTGGGGCTCCAAAAAGGGCTTACTGTGTGCTCTCACAATGCTAGGGACTGGCAAGGAATTAGACCTAGTGCTTCCCCCCACCTCCCGCTCCCCCCCTCTTCCCCCCAGGCCATCTACTCTCCCCACCCAAGCTGGGGAACACAGAACGCAGACTCCAAGAAGAGCCTGCCCATTCTGGGAACCACTGAGCCCCTAAAGAGAGCTTTCTGAGTGGTCCTGTGGAGAATGCTGGTGATACAACAGTGACTAAGGCAACTCTGGACCCTGCCCTTAAGGGAGACAGACTCATCACCAGACAGGGACAGCCCAGAGTGGTCAGGGCTTGGATAGGAAAACTCCAGGGTATAGAGGGATCCAAAAGGAGGAACCTTACCTTGCCTGGGGAAGAGGAGGTCAGGAAAGGCTTCCAGGAGGGAAAAAACAGCTGATTTTAGAAGTCAGGCAAAGAATGTTCCAGGCAGAAGAAGCAGCATGGGCAGAGGCCTGGAGGTAGGAGATCTCATAGCACTGTTCAATGAACTGAAATATCACTGTGGTTGGAGAAAGGACCCTGGGTCAGTTCACAAAGAATCTGTGGGGCCATGCTAAGGAGCCTGGATTTTGTCCTGAGGTCACAGGGGAACCATAGAGAGGTTAGTCATGGAAAGGATTTGGGCTTTAGGAAGATCTTGTTGAAGGGAGTGAATAAAGGCATAAAAACAGGTAGTTCCACAAATAATTACAATGTTGATGAACACAGAATATAAGAAGCCCCTGACCCAGTAAGGCCTGGGCACTGCACCCAACACAGTATATGGGAGGGTTTGGAGGCCAGACCAAGAGGAGGATGAAAGCAATTCTTTCCCACAGCTCCTTTGTCCAGTCCCCATTAGGCGCTTTATTCACACAAGAAATTCACTCTTTCAACAAATATTTATAGTGTACCTCCTATGTGCCAGGTGATATTTCAGGTGCTGGAGATACAATGGTGAATAAGACAAAAATTGCTCCTTTATGATATTCTATTACATTGAGGAAAACAAAAGAAGGTAAACACAATAAAAGGATGTCATGTCTGAGAGGATAAGTGCTATGGAGAAATAAAGTGGAGAAGGGAGATAGAGGCTGACAAGATGGCAATTTCAAATGTTTAGTCCAGTGATGGCGAACCTTTCGAGCTCGGCGTGTCAGCATTTTGAAAAACCCTAACTTAACTCTGGTGCCGTGTCACATATAGAAAGTTTTTGATATTTGCATCCATAGTAAAACAAAGACTTATATTTTTGATATTTATTTTATATATTTAAATGCCATTTAACAAAGAAAAACCAACCAAAAAAATGAGTTCGCGTGTCACCTCTGACACGCGTGTCATAGGTTCGCCATCACTGCTCTATGGAGAGTCTACCTAGAACCAGGTCACATTTTGATTCCGGGTCAGGGCATATGCCCAGGTTTAGGTCTCAATCCCCAGTGGAGGGCGTGCAGGAGGCAGCCTCTCTATGATTCTCTCTCACCATTGATGTTTCTACCTCTCTTTCCCTCTCCCTTCCTCTCTGATATTAATAAAAATATTTTTTAAAAATAATTCTCATCTTTCTTTTTCATTATGCGTGCATGAGAACTCTCCCTTCAGGATTTTCCAACTCCATTTTGAATAAGGTTTTATCAGTTTTTACAGAGATGAGGGTAAAAAGGGGGGCCCAACTGTGTAGGTCATTTGTAAGGACTTTCGCTTTAGACTAAAAGTCAGACCAGACACCAGGGTAGGGTTCTAAGTTAAGGAAGGGGAATGATCTGACAGGTGTTAGCAGGGTCCCTCTGGCTGAGTGGACTTGATTGTGGAGGGCAGTAGGGAAGCCAGGGAGTAGGCTACTGTAATAGTCCAGGCTGGAGGTGCTGGTGACTTGAACCAGATGGCAGAAGATTCTGAGTATATTTTTAAAGGCAGAGCCAACAGGATTTCTAGATAGATCAGCTAGACGGCGTGAGAGAAAGACAGGAGTCAAGGACAACTGTCCAGAAGAATAGAGTTGCCAATTTCCCAGATGGACCGATTTCTGCCAGATCCTTCACAGAACCCAGTTTTAATTCTTAACCCCTCCTCTCCGTGATGCAGGACTGATTTCTGAGTCCTCGGCCACCCAAATCTTTCTGGGGTTTGGAAGTGGAGTCCCGGCATTCCTCTTAACATGACAAATGACCCTGCGAGAAAGGCTGGTTCTTTTTCAATACCTCAACAATTGACCTCAAATAAACATAAAGAGGGTATGGGTTGTCTTTTGTTCAAGGATGCATCTCTAACCCTTACAAAAGTACCTGGCATTCAACAAATAAAACTTGCACGAAAAGGGTGTTCCCGCTTGGGTCTTTTCCCAGGCCCACTCTCGAGCCAGCATCAGGACCCAGACAGAATTTCTTTCTCCCGGTGAAGCCAAGGAAGTGATGAGAACCTGTCACTGGTCGGTGCAAGTTTATGATTGGGCCTGGAGTGTTGATGAACATCTATCAGCCCAATAGGAGACTGGGGCTCTCATGAATGGGCGTAGTCTTACTTGGCCTCAGGGACCGCCTTTCCGAGGGCGCTCTAGCCCCGGGGAAAGACTCACCTATCCCGCCGGCTTCCGGCCCGTTTTAATTCCGCTTCCGGTCAGACGGAGGAGTCTCTTTGCTGAGGTCACATTGAGCTGCGAGCGGCTTCAGGGGCGTCTTTAGGTGAGTGCCGAGGGTTCGGGTACCCGGCATCCCATCCTGGGGGACTGAGGAACCGGATCCTAGCTTCCCCGAGAGCGAGGTGAGGTTTCCGGACGGCGGCGTTCGGCCTCCTGCGGGGGCCTGGGGTTCTGTTGGGTTAGTAGTCATAGCTAACGTTTAGTTCTCCCTTAATGCCGGGCAACATTCCAAGTGACTTATATTAATTCATTTAGTCCTCCCCCTTCTTCCCAGGCTGTAATTGTCCCTTTTGACAGTGAGGCAACGGAGGCTCAGAGGTCTTAAGCTGCTTAGCCAGCGACCATGATTTGGACTCAGTGTTTTGGGCGGCGGTGCCCTTAATCCCCGGGCCACAGGCGTGGGTCCCCGCAGTTTGCCAGGGCCGCAGCCTAGCGCCCTGGTGTCTGGCTCCTCCTCTCCCCTTGGGCGTTGGAGGGGTCACAGTGTCATCCGGACCCACCCTCACCCAAATAGCGGTTCAAGATCTCGTCCCATTTTACTGTTCCGACCCATCTGTGTCCCAGCCGCTGGTGTTCTACACCGGCCTCGTTTCTCCCGCGCCTCCTTCCCCAGGCTACTCTGGCGTCCCAGATCCCCACACTGCCTTGGATCGCTTCAGTTTAATACCGGCTCGCTCACCTCGGCATAAACCCACGACTCCTCGAAATCTCTGGAATAGAGGCAGTTTCTCTCAGGCTCCCTGGTGAAAACTGTGTGTCACCTCATAAGAGACATTGTACCAGAGGTTTTTTAACCCTGTGTCTACAGAATCTATAGAATTCGAGGGGTTCTAGTACTCCAGTGAGGGGAAGTTAGGTCTGCATTTTTTACTAACCTCTAATTGAAATGTAGCATTTGCTTCATTCAGTTAGGCATGGAGACAACAACCTCAGGAATGTTAGCATCTGTGACGTTGTCAGCAATCAAATGGTTGCAGATAGCACAAAATATTTTTACTCATGATTACTTCAAAACTGTAGTGGTTAATAAAACCTCAGCTACATATAGTAGTTATCGTTGTGAGCCCGTGCCATTTTAAAAAAATTTTTTTATTGATTTCAGAGAGGAAGGAAGAGGGAGAGATAGAAACATCGTGATGAAAGAGAATCATTGATCGGCTGCCTCCTGCACGCCCCCTACTGGGGATGGAGCAGGCAACCCAGGCATGTGCCCTTGACCTGAATCGAACCTGGGACCCTTTAGTCCACAGGCCGATGCTCTATCCACTGAGCCAAACCAGTCAGGGCTGTGCAATTTTTTAATGCACTTAAACATGTGCTAAGAAAAGGATCACTAGACCCCTCTAAAGAGTTCGTGGCACCAAAGACATTAAGAATCTCTGCATTGTACATTATGTTAACGATTGAGTGCAGTTCCACTAGTTGTATACTATGTGACCTTGAGAAGTCATTTAGACACTTGTCTGAGAAACGGTGACAGTAATAGTTCTTATCTTTTATTAGACTGGCTGCAGCAGCAAAGCTGTAAGAGTGTAGGACAGCACCTGGCCTGTAGTAAGCGCTCAATGCCTGTTAGCTAGTGTTATTTTGTGACAGATAAGGCCTAATTTTACCAAGGAGTTGCCCCTCCCTCCAAACCTTGCTGTGACTTACACATTTAGACGTATGGATTTGCTCTGTCCTTCTCAGCTGTGTGTGTATGTTGACAGGGAGGGGGTAGTGCAGTGATGGCAAACCTTTTGAGCTCAGCGTGTCAGCATTTTGAAAAACCCTAACTTAACTCTGGTGCCGTGTCACATAGAAATTTTTTGATATTTGCAACCATAGAAAAACAAAGACTTATAGTTTTGATATTTATTTTATATATTTAAATGCCATTTAACAAAGAAAAATCAACCAAAAAAATGAGTTTGCGGGTCATAGGTTCGCCATCACTGGGGTAGTGGCTTATTCACACCCAGCCCATCTTCTGTAT